AAATGTTGAATTAAGTAACATACCTGAAGAAAAGAATTCATTTTCGTCGTTGTATGCTTTAAGTGACCCTATTGTCGAACATAACGACAACGATAATCAATCTCATCTTTTCACATCAACATCTATACTTGCGCCTCTTACATCCTATCGGTCTGCGGTAGACGAGAACCACAATTCTATTTCATTGTCAACTAACAAAAACAAAAATAATAAATCATTACCTTTCGCCTTCGACAATTCATTTCAGCAATCGTCTGCGTCTACACTTTCAACTTATTCTGCGACTGCTTCACCAGAATCTTTACAAACTGCCATGTCATTATATCGACATTCATCTTCCGCGTCACATCCATACGATCAACGCATAAGTGATCAAGGAAACAAATATATCATTCAATTAAAAACCGATGAGTATCAAGAAAACGATTTCACCATCACACCACGTTCGATATCGAGTCAAATTATCATCGATGCCAAACATCGCGAGGAAGATTCAACTGGTGGTTACGTTCATCGAGAACTTCATAAAATCTTCAATATACCGAAACATATCGATTTAAATCGATATGCTTATACTTACAACACACACACCCAAGAATTAACAATCGAAATGCCATATTTGTCGATCTCATCGGTTCATAGCTCTGCTGAACCTTTGACACAGTCATCGGAAAATCGAACTCGGCCAACCAACGGCAATCTTTTTTCACCACCATTATACCAAGCAACTTATTCTAATCAAAGTAACCCTATAAGTGGCAGTAGTATGGCAACGACTGGTTCGACACCATACAAGAGTTTGAGTACACCAGCTGCTTCCAATTATGACTCCTCAGTTGGAAATACAAAACCATTTGATTTTGATTTGTTTCATCGCTCAGCATTTCGACCACAAATTGTTCGAACATCAACAAATGACACTGCGGAAAAGAAACTAATTATGTCATTGGATCTAAGTGATTATCAAGCCGAAGACATCAAAGTAACTGTTAAAGAGCGTGAATTAATTGTCAACGCCGAACGAAAAATCGAAAGTGGTACGCGAAAGTCTCGCTCGTCATTCTTTCAGTCGACAAGTTTACCTCCTCAAACAGACCTTGATCATCTTCAAACGAATTTTACCAATGGACGATTAACAATCGAAGCTCCCTATCTCGATCAAACGAATTCAGATCGTCGATTGAAAACTGCGAGTCTGATTTCTACTAATAATAACAATAATAATCAAGAATCGAATTGGTAAGCCGCACGTTGATCATTTCACTTGCTTGTCTTGATTTCCTCACAGATACTTTCGGTCATTTTTAATCTTTTCACCATGTGTGTGCGTGTCTTTCTATATTACACTTATTAATTAACGTTTTGTTTGTATATAATATATATCAATAGGCTTTAATTCAGTAGTGAATTTCATTCTTTAGAGATTCCTACTGATTAAAGTAGAATCGTTGTTTTTTCTTTTCAATGAAATAAAAAGAAAAGATAAATGAAATGATTGCATTGAAATATCTCATTTGACCTATTTATATTCAAGGTTTACTTCTTTTGTGTTTAAGCTAAAATATTCACGGTTTTTCTTTCTCTCGCCATCTGCTTTTTGTTTTATATAATTTCTCTCGATAAGAAAGTGATTTACATCAAGGTCTGAGTTCTACTTCTATTTGAATATCAAAAGAATAACACGAGAAAAGTTTTTTTTCTAAAGAAAATACTCACACGAAGATCATTGTTTGATTAAAAAAAGACCTCTTTAATCATTTGCATTTTTATGTCTCCTTTGCGTACATTTTCTATCCGATATTTTAGGCGCATAGTATCCGAATCACAAGAGAAGTGGTGTACTGATGATTTGTCTCAACAACGAACAGAAACGGTCAAAGAATTTGTTCGCTCTTGTGGACCTCGAAGCCATTATTCAACATGATGTGCAATCAATCATATCAAACATTTATATGTGAATTGAAATAAGCAAGAAGAAAAAGAAAAAGAAAAGAAAAGCTTCCAACATGATCAATCTACACATGTTTCTTTATTCATCTCCTAGCATACGGACATATTCCGGTGATTACTAGTATGATCCTCCTTTACAAAAACAAAATATTCAAATCATTTTGCCACATATGCACATCAGTAATGATAGAATAGATGTTCGATTCAATCACACGGATCAATTGTAGTCTAGAAATATATATATATCTCAACATTTTGAATTAGTATAAGTCATGAAATGTGTCTATGTTTGCTGTCGATGTGTATCATTGGAGTGAAGATGAACGATCAGATTAATCAGCTATATTCTACAGATTGATGAGATGCATGCCTCGATCGATGTTACGTATCTAGATTAGAAAAAAAGACATGTCTGTTGTTTCAAGTTTAATGATTTTTTTTATTATCACATCTAAATATACACGTTTGATCGCAACTATTGTCAAATTCGACAAAATCATTCATATTTCTCAGCTCGATGTATTTCTTAACATAGATTACGAAAATGAAAGCGCTACCTTGTCGAGCGAGAGACCTCTGTTTCGTTCGAAGAGAATTTTTGACAGTGTTGATGATGGAAAAAACTGATCCAATGATGTCCTTAGTTGAACTTCTGCATGTCATCAACTTTGATTATTCATCTATGCGTACATAATGGGATAGAAAAGAGTTCTTCGATGGCGTCAAAAATCATGTTTCCCGAATATATGGGACATGTCACTTCGAAATTTTCCAGTTTACCGTGACTCTTCATTATGTCTGCTAAAGAAACATTAAAATTAAGAATAATTTGAAACTTTCCTTCAGGTACGATCAGTGTCAGATGATTAATTATTGGAAAAAAAAGGAACTTTCGTTTGTATGAACTCCATTCAAAAAAGAAAGAACACCAATTCAAGGCGTTTAATAATGCGTCTTATCGTGATTTATAGTTTTCAGTCAAGTCGACGCGAAAACTTGTTGAAAGTACAAAATGACGTATGTTGTAGTATGCTGGTTAACGAAGAACTATCATTATATATCCGATTGGATCTATTATCAAAGGATGTATTTCCCTATAAACAGCATGAAATCATGTCAGAATGTGATAAAATCTGTTTTAAGATGATGGGGGAACACGATGTTTATTCTTGTTTGCTGCTTAAACCATTCATCCGCTAATAGCGATCTATTTGTGTACGATAAACGTTTTTTGAGAGCGAGAGCGAGAGTTAGTATCAGTCAAATTTTGGAAAGTGCTATTTTATGCTCTGTCGATTAAGACAAATACAGTTCATGCATCGTTTGCTTTCCTCTTCCATTCATTTACATTCTATTGAGGTGTTAAAATCTGCATTTGTACTTTGATGACGTACATTGGTGTTTTGTCATTTGTGGCCTAGTTTTCTCTTGGTTGATTGTAAATTACGATGATAAATGTGCTGATCAGTTCACAATTCCCTGCACTCAACAAGGTCGAACTGTTCTTGTGTCTTTCTTGATAATATTAAAGCGTTTGTTTGAAACACGTATTTCTAAATAGACATTAGGAAATTCCTCGAAGATATAAATAATTACTATTTGTATTCCAGTTAGGTATTTATTTCGGTGATAACGGGAAAAGAAGCGAAGCGAGAGTGGCCCTGCGACTTTCAGTCAACTTTATTGACAAATGATTCTCTATTGTTGATAGATAAATATATTCTATAGAATCTCTCCATTTTCTATCCTTCTGATCGTTTCTTTAAGTGCTCATCGATTATCTATTAAAGACAAAGTAATGATGTTCTTTTAATATAGACGGCTATTCAACCGCCCACTCACTCATTCACTTACAACTCATGTGTATCAATGCAACAATCAACATTCTGCAAGTTCTTTTCCTGATGGCTTTGTTCAAACCTTGATCAATCTACACATTAGTCTGCATTGTCAAATAATCCAAGTTGTTGACTGATAAAACCCACTGTCTGTTCGAAGATTTCATCAGAAGAAAGTCTTAACCGTAGGAATAAACAACTGTATAGACGACAAATCAGTATCCCAATCTTTCAGTGTCCTGTCTCACGTACGTTTTGCAATCGCCGAAGCCCACTTGCCAACGCACTGAATCGTCTTTTCTCTTCTAACAAATGTAAGTTATGATTTCATGTTGAATAAAACAAAGTAGCAACGCGATCAATTCCAAATGGATAAATAAAAACAGCATAAGAAAATAGATCTCCGTATACTTTCACACAATGATTATTCCGATAAGAAAGTTTCTCCTTTCTTTCTTCGTCGTGCATACCAGCGAACAAATTAATTATTAGAATAAGAAAGGATAAGATAGCATGAAACCAGTCACTGTTAGGTGTTTCGTTGTCAAAACGCATGTCAGGAAAAGCAGGAGAGAAAGAGAATTTTTCTCTAATAAAATGACGCTTCGTAATAGCAAAACTCTTCTGATTCGAAGAGATGATGTGAGCCAAAAAAGAAGAGCGTAGAACAAGAGAAAAATGACATCCGAGTTTTTCACGAGATGACAAGAGCGAACGGTGTATGTTATTCAGAAAACATAGAGTAGATAAACTTTCTCTCATTCCTTTTGTCTATAGACAACAGATGATTTTGCAAGTGTTAACACTCGATCCACAAAGAATATTGTCTCGTTTCTATTGAAGTCAGCAAATCGATGGAACCATCTCTAAAATGCTCATCTCGTGTGTAAACATTTCATTAGAGAAAGACAATTTTCTAAAGACTTCCAAATGTTTTTTTTGCCTATTATATTAGATTGCTAATCTTCGCATGGGCTATAATCATTCTTAGTGGAAATAATATGTTGATATATAGAAGTAAAGGTCGCCAGTGAAATGAGATGTAAACGAGATTTCAGACGTGAGCATGAACTCGAGCTATGATAATAACCCACTTTCTTCCGATATCATATGATCTTCTTCAATTGATCTTCTGAGACTAATACTGTCGATCATTAACTAGAGCATTGGATTTCTTGGGAAGTCTATTCGAGAACAAACCACCTTCAGTGTGAAGTTATTCTACTAAGGAAATCAGTTTTCATAGACAAAGAAAGTCAGCAACATTATAATGTGATTAAATGAGAAAAAAAAAAGACAAAGCGGAAAGGGGATATTACCTGTTGTAACACAATGTTTGGTTTAGTACTTATATGCGACTGGATTCAGAGCAATTCGCTCGGTTTTTTCTTCCTCGGTAGCGTAGTATCCATTGAGTAACACGTTTTTTTAGTTAATTTCTCTCTCTCTGAGATTTTTCTGCATCGTTTTTTCTTTTAATCATTGAAAGAATAGAAACATAATTGCAAAAGAGAGAGAGAGGGAGGGTATGAAAGTAAAGAAAACTATTTTTAGTTTCTTTTTTCCACATCTATTCGCCCATCTTAATCTTTCCTATGAGAAGAAGAGAAATGTCAGAGTAAATAGATGTGTTTCTTCAAATACTAATGGAAGAATCAAAAAGAACTGGCAAATAGATTAACCATTTGTTCTAGATATATATCTGAATCTATTTATTCAATAGGAGAACCGATCAAACTCGAAATGTTTTTCTGTTGTCCAAGAAAATCAACCATCGAACAACAGACGATGCGATCTTATTGCCATATTTGATGTACCTTTCACCATGTGTGTTTATCAACAAAAACAAAATCTGTTAAGTATATTCACATATAATGGCCGACTTGACAGTTGCTACATTATGTCAAGTTCTCGCGAATATAACTAGAAATCGTTGTACGTTCGTGGAAACTTCCAATACCTGCCGATGCATTGATAGTCTAATGTCTCCAAGTATGATTATGGCTTGGAAGTGAATGTTATTGCTGTCATTTTGCATTTAGGACCAGCAAATACTGTTAGTTCAGCACCGAATATAATGTTAAGCGAAGTCTTTCTAATCTTTTTTGTTTTGGCATTATGGCTTTCAGCAATTGGTTTTTGTCTCAATCAATATAAATCACTTCGTCGTCTCGAAACTCAAGTACATTACTGCGGAAACCGAAAGGATCCATTAAACATTGGTGATATTAAAATCGTTGAACGCGAACAAGATTCGATCATATACAAGAAAAAACGTTATTCAACTGTTCTCGATACACATATTAATTCTGAAGATTTGCGATCTATGCACTACGTCAAAGAATATCTGCCGAAATCTGTTCTCACACCGAAAATACCCTCGTCGGCAGTCACCGCTCTTGTTTTCAGTCGGGAGGAGCTGACTGCGAATGTTCCTTTAGCAACGACAGCAGCAAATAACTTTCTACCAGCATTATCCATGTCGACACTGACGTCATATACTCCGCTGAGTACTCATGATGAATTAGCTGAAGAACAGCAATCACCAAGTGATCCAGTGGCTCCATGCGCATCTCTCGTCACATGCGAAGCGAATACTAATAAGCATAATGAACGAATGTCATTCGCTCGTATTACAGGTAAAGATGAAGAAAAAAGGAAATTACGATGAACTTTGCAATTCTAGCTGTACTCTCATAATGATTTGTTTTTTTGTGTTAAATGTTTCGCCTCCGTAAGAATCTTCTTTCAACTGTTACGCGTCAGGGTGATTCAGTTCATCATAAGATTAAATATTTCCATTTGTAGACAGATTGAGAATGTTGTGTCAGGAAAATCAAGCTTAACTACTCATCTCGATAATGTTTACTTACTAAAACACACCCTTCTAAGATTAATAAACACTTAAGAGTCGTAGGCGAACATTTTACAGGCGACGTGTTGTGTAAGATCACATGAACGTGAGAAACTTAAAACTCTGAGCGGAAAGTTAGACACTGACTTACGCGTTTCTCTTCGTCTCATAGCCATTGTAATAGTTCAATGCCAAATATAAGAAATTTTCTAAAATTATGTTAATTGCTCGTGATGTTCATGCATAACAACAGATAATGGTGTCGTCATCATTTCAAGCAAATACGATTTTCAGCAATGTAGGCATACATTCATCAGCTAATGAAAATTTTTTCAACAAATATGCTAAAGTTCTAATTAGATCTTGATTTTCTTCTTTAAGTCTTCTGCAAACATACTACTTGCTTTTTTTTTACCTTAGACAAAGGTCGTGTGGCGACGGGTTTAACCGTTCCACGTATTCCTACGCCGAGTAGTTTGCATTCATGCTGGAATAGCTCGTACACGTGCGATACAAGTCGTTCTGCCCAACTTTTATCAGTTCCATCAAGCAGTCTTCGAATCAATCGTTACTCCGATGGAAACATATCATTTTCCATTCCTGAAACTTCGCCAAAAACCTCCGAGAATACCAACGAACAATTACTTGACCCTCGTCTTATATCGAAGACTGTTCGTCGAAGTTTGCTGGCTTTACACCGCGAAAGTCAAGAAAATATCAATTTCCAACGTAATAAAGAAAAGACTCAATCCGAAAACGACGTTCATGGCGCATTTACATCGTGGAAAATCAAAATGAAATCGAAATTAAAACGTACACATCATCGTCACACGCAGCCATCAACTCCTCACACCCATTCAAGTGCATTGTCAGTCGTACCACCATCAGACAATAGTAACGAACGTGAACGTCGTGTGTTAGAATACAAAACGACAAAACAAGAATTAAGATTCTCTACGCCTCCATTACGTTATTATTCGTTCTCGAGAAATCCATCTGCTCGACGAAGTTTAAAACATTACCCGAAATACTCAACACAGAGTACAACAGAAAGTGAAACGACGCAATTTGATTCACCGCATACGACAAGTATTTATATTCCTACAAATGATAATAAATTCAAGAAGACAATAGATGAAATCGATAGCGAATCTGCAATTACACCTGTATGAGAGTCTCCTCCGTTTATCTGTATATAAATTTTTGTCTTCTCAAAAGTTCCGGTGAATTTTTCTTTTTCTCCATTCATTTCTTTTTCTTAATATAAACTTCATAGGATTATAAAGTAAAGTCGAAATAGAACGTTTACGAGGCCCTGCTTGTATAAGTTCATTTCGAGCGAGAGAAAAACATCGTCAATTTGGTTGGCTTCAAAAGTAAGCTCTCTTTATGTCAAAGGAAGACCAATCCTGATTTTTGGAGTTTCTTTTTTTCTTCTGTCAATTTATCGATCTGTCGCTACTTGATCTAATCAAATTCGCAAGTTCGAAATAACGATTTCGAAAAATCATATATTATGTGAATGAGAGAAAAGAAAAGAGAGAAAAAACTGGAATCGATTGAAACTGAGATCCCTTTTATTTTTCTTGTACATTGAGTCAATATAGTAGGCAGTTAAATCATCAGAGAAAAAGAAATCGACAAAAACACGACTATTCCCATCGAAAAACAACTCGCATTTACAATGTACACAGGCATAAAGAACAGTATGAAATCAGTTACACTTTTGATTGTACTGATATTCTTCTTAAAACCTATTCGTGGATCACCATGTTACAAACAAGGAAATAACTTACAATGCAATGTTACAAACAGCTCCACTGTTGATACAAGTTCTATCGATGTTACTGGTATTGCTTGGATTGAAATTATATACAGTGACACGACATTTCTCGATGTTAAAACATCATCCGTAGATTTGCTTCGAATTAGACCTGTTGATGGAAGTGACGGTCATATACTTCGAATCGCGTCGATCGATACCGCAGCTGCTCGAGTTGAAATCATGATTAATCTGTCGTTGAATCAAACTGCGTCACCATTATTTTTTGCATCAAATCCGATGTTGGCAGCAACTAGTACATTGAGTATTTACGTGAAACAAATGTATCAGGAAACTGCGAGTTTCAAAATCTTCGCGTGTTCAAATCTACCTACCGTCACTTTGGCAAAATATGAACTTGTCTTCGATAATTCGACTTCTCTATCAGGAGTAACAGAATCCTTTTGTTTCTAATATTTTTTCACTTGATTTTGTCTTATTTTTATAGAATTTAAGCTTTCCTGATCTCGTCTGTGGACTGAAAAACGTTTCGAGCTTATTAATATCCGGTAACAAACATTGTCTTACGATTATTAGCTCACAACTGTCTAATGTACGGAGCGTGCAAAAATTAGCACTAAGAAATCTTCGTCTACATGACCAAATTCTATACAATATCATCAACTTAAACGAATATATCATCGAAAAATGCGATTATGATCGAACAGCGGGAATTTTGCAATCTGATCGAGCACAGAATCTATCACTAATCATGAGAAATAATAATCCGTTGGATTCTATTCTGCCAAATGGTAGCAACGCTTTTTATGGACGTATCGCTTACAAAAGCATCACCTTAATCGAACCGAACTTGACTTCAACATGCTTGAAAGCAATTGTGGGATCAAAACTTGGACTGTTAACATTAACTCTTGATCTTGGTATTTACAATCCAGCAGATTTCGTCGAATGGAAAAGTAATTCTCCCATTCTTTGGGATTTAAAAATTTTTAGCATTCGAAACTTAAGTATATTACCACCGAAATTCTTCAACAGCATCGATTCGTTGCATAGTCTTGTTTTACAAGGCACATACCCTTTACAAAAATCTGATATTTGTATTTTTGCTGGTATCAATGTCCCAGATAGTACAGCACAACCTCTAATAACATTATATTCAAGTCAAAATCCACAGAATTGGGATTCGTGCGCTGATACATACATAAAAGCGGTTAATACCAAGAGCATGGCAGATGTCGTATGCCCCTCTAACAATACCGACGAAGGTTGTCAACAATGGTGTACAGCAACTGCGAAATGCTCCCTTATTTCCTTCGAAAATAGCTGTCCGGACATTACATTAACCAGAGTGAAACCATTCTTTTATAACAATAGTTATTTATACTATTTCTTCCAAAAAGGTCTATGGGCAGAGCGACCAACAGATCCGACAAGCTATCCAAAGGACGATTCCATAAATATTGCCGCTATCATCGGTGCAATCTGCGGTCTTTTAGTTGCTATTATCATTCTTGGCACAACAATCTTTTGTATCTATCGAAACAGAAACAGTAATTCGAGCAAAAACTTAACTTCTTCATCCGAGAAGAAATGTGTGTATTCTTCCGATGATCCATCCCATGTATCGATCGCAACGAGTAAAACATCTCAATCATCCCGCACTGGGCTTCAAAAATCATTTTTTCCTCCAATTCATCCCAATGATGAAATCGCACCTCCACTCTACACTGCACCATCTGAGTCTGTTCGTTCGGCATCGGTTTACAATCATCCATCAGCACCTGCGGCGCCTCGTGACAGTATCTCAACACATGCAACTCATGTTTACGAAACAGTCGACTCTTGAAAAGAGCGTGAATATAGATATTTACTCCATGATTTTATTCATTCAAATACAAATATTTTTAAAATTCGATTTCCGTAGCGTCTTTTTCATATTCCACATCTGTTCCGATAATCAATGATTGTTGAAATGTATTCAATTTGAGCTTTTCATTCTGTTTTATCGTGTTTTCACCTAAAAGAACAAAATTATATATACATACATATATATATATTGTGTTTTCTTTCTCTCCTTTCTTTAAAATAAAATTAATTGAATACGTACTAGCTATGATCAGTTCCAAAGGCCAATGCGTACAAGTCGTTCCATTTCGAACGTATTCTTCTCTCAGTTTACGAAATTCTTCTAAATTTTGGAACAAGTCTGCGTCAGGAGCAAACAGGGACAATGGACTCATACAGATGTAAGCGACAATGCGTTTCAGTGCTGCTTGATTTGCTCCATTATCATCAACGAGTGCCGGCGTGTTACAATGAATACAACGTGAATCCCAAACGACGAGATCACCTGCTTTGCATTTGATTAAACGAGGGGGAAGCTGTTGAAGCAATGGATGTATATCAGGAATTCGAAGATAGTTACCCCAATAATTTCTTGATTTCGATGGTGATAGCAAGTCAAGAAAATGTTTATGCGAATGTGGAACTATAACAAGACCACCAGTAGTTTCATCGCTATCAGTGACTGCGACAAGACCTTGAATTGAACATCGGTCTGGTTTAGAAGATGGGTTCTAAAATTGATTATTGATATGGAAAAGATGTCGTACCGGAATAGAATATTATTTACTTGATCACAATGATACCAACCGCCTCTTGTTTTCCATTCGGGATTAATATGCCAGTTACGAAAACAACCAGCTCCGTCGAATGAAACACACAATTCATTGGAATTCCAAATATGAGAAAAGACTTTCTTCACATTTGGATTTCCTCGTATATGCCACATGAACTCAGATTGTCCAATACCCAAAGTGTTGAGCAGGCCAATTTCAAATGATCCTGGCCTAGAATAAATGGAATGAAAACTGTTTACTGTTTATTCGTCTGAGTGAAATCAAATATACCATGGCTCATCCCATGTTTCAGGTAGATCCCGTCGAATATGGTAAGGCTTTGGTAAACTCTCCAGATATTTCCAAAATAAGTCAACACTTTTATTAACTTCATCAGCAGACAGAACATTACTAAACACAGCATAGCCGTGCTCATTGAAATGTTCAATACCTTGTTGAATTTCTTCAATATTTGTAACAGAAAATCGAGGTGGAGTTATATCATATTTCACGGTGGCTTGTACTGGATTTGGCACTATTGTCTCGTAGGTTCTAGTTGGTTTTGTTTTATCAATGCTCTGACCCATAGCAAACAAGTCGATTTCACTTTCTTGACACACGTATTAAACTACTGATATTAATATGGAGTGAATAAATACAATGATGTAATTACGCCAACTATTCTGCCACGTAGCGTGTTTCACATGACTTTATATACCTTTTTTAGATGCTTTCGAATCTTCTAGATATTTTCACAGCTGTCGAGAAAAGAAGGAAGTGTAGAACTACATTGGTTACTAAAGCACATTGAGTTTTATCAAAGATGATTAACCAGACAACGAATTTTGGACTACCTGTGAGCATGTAATAAAACACAACAGTATGTGTCATGCTCGGCAATGTACGTATAGGACCTGATTTTTTTTGTACTACAGTGACATCTATCCGATATTGATTAAATTGGAGTCAGTATAACATTACTAATGGAACTCCGTCTTAATGGATTGCGATTTGTTTATTATTTTTATTTGGAGTCTATATAGATCTTTTTTTTCTACTATAGTTTCCTTTTTTCAAATTTCTATTGCAGATGGCTGCTATTGTCAATCGTGTCACAGCTCTTGTACCAAAAGTTGCCCTACGTAAATTTACATTTGTTAGGCCATGTAATCCTCTAACGATCTTTTCTTTTCAGCCGTGGCACGCTATGGACAATCGAAATTGTCCCGTTTTTGGTATTTTGCTCGCGTTGAATTACGTCCACCAATGCCAAGCGAATTCGGTGAAGTTCAAAAAGGTGTTCAAAAAATTGTTAAATCAGCTTCCACCGGTGCTTGGCGCCAATTGACCGTTAAAGTACGAATCTTGTTTTTTCTCCTCTCCTACCAATTCTTCATCTTAATCTTCATTTAGCAATTCGCCTTGAACGGCCTTGTTGGTCTAGAAGTTATGTTCTGGTTTTACATTGGTGAATGCATTGGACGCGGAAGTATCATTGGCTATCGACCTGGCCGTAGTGAGGGCATCCCAGCTCCATATAAATACTTCATGTGATCCATATAGCAAAAAAAACAATCTAGCTGGTAGACAAACAACTCCTTCCTTGATTTCTTCATAGCACAGTGACCATTGTCTACAGAAATTTTCTGTCCTTTTGTCATCCGTTTGTTTCATCTCTAGTTATTTTCAAATAAAACCAAACAGAAAAAACAAGATGACGGACGAGATTTATCAAGATTGCCTTTGGTTTATTTAGTTCTTCGCTATTTTTTTTTCTCTAGATGTCCTAAGGTATTGAAATGAATGACACTTTCATGGTACACACTGGAATCAACGATGAAAATGGTCTGTCCACAGACAAAATTCAACTTCAGTTGAAAACAACATTAAGTGAAGAACAACATTCAACAAGCCAGACACCTTCGCTACAACTCGTGATTTTACCAAAAACTCAAGATGACATTGTGGTAATGCCGGATCATATCCATTTAATTGAAATCCTATTGCCTTTCGGAAATTTTAGTTTCCAAATGTTATCGATCTGAATGTTGGTGGCTATCACTACACCACAAGTTTATCTACACTGCGAAAATACGAAGACTCAATGTTAGCCGTTATGTTCAGTGGTCGATATGAATTGGTTCGAGACAAATCAGGACATATATTTATTGATCGTGATGGACGTCATTTCGGGTAGGAAATTCAACAGAGTGAATGTTAATCTTAATAATCTTCTTTCGATTTAGTCATATATTGAATTATATTCGCTGTGATCAAATGCCACCTGAATCTATGGCATTAGATGTCTTACGTGAAGCCGAATTTTTTTGTATTAGTTCGTTAATAACTAAGCTTGAAAGTTCCAGTCCATGTGTTATATCATTACGCCGACGTGAATCGTTTCGTCGTTTGATACCTGATTATGAACATTTGAAGATGGATATTATCAACAAGTCAGCTGAGAAACATTCATCATTTCAAGAATCGCGCGTCGTCATTACACAGCTTGATCATACGAAATTAAAGGGTACAATACCTTGTTACAATTGTAGCCGAGAATTTGTTACAGTTAATCATGGTAAAGACCTTCCTTTTGATTGCTTGAGTTTATCATATTTTCTTTTGCTTGGTTTTTTTAGCGTGTGCTTTCGATGGTCTTACAGCTGACATACAAATTCAACAACAATTGAAACCTATTCAGTCAGATATACATATTGATATGGATAAACTCGTTGCGTAAGAATGGACGATTTATTTCATTAGAGAAAAAAATCTACTATTGACGTTTATTTAGCTTTGTTGTCGACGAATTGGTCCATGATGGTTTCAAGGCTTCAAGTGAACGTGTAACATGCCGTTTTAGTGTTCGATGCCAAAGTTGTACCTTGAGCGGTTTATATACAGCTGGTGGAATTTTAGCACCAAGAGAATGCCATAATATCGCCCATGTTATTAAATTTGTCTGGTCTTAAATATGAATTGTTTGTTTGTTTGTTTGTGATAAATCATTTATCATCAGTCGTTTCTGTATGTTTCTTCTAGTCGACATCGTGTGCGTTTTCTCTCTCTCTTTTATATGTAATCTATAGCGAAATGTTTTTTTCTTCTTTTTTTTGAACGACGTCTTGTAATATTTTGTTCTTCAATCTATGGAGAAAAGTCAATGAAAAATATGATCTCTGTTGTATCTTTTCTATGTATATGTATATATAGATGACGAGTGAATTTCAAAATCACGTTGAAAGCTTCGTGACATCATTAACAGCAAATGCACCGCAGATACATTATCAGGCATTTGACTTTTCCAATGTGAGCGATAGTCGATCGATGTTAACGAATTTGAATTATGATAAGAACAAAGTTTCGTGCCTAAATCTGGAAATGGTAGGTGAAGACATTGGACGAGAAGTATTGAATAATTATTGTTGTTTTATTAGATAGCAGATATGTTTCAAGTATTCGCAGCCGTTCATAGTGCTGTCGAATCGAAGTCATCGAGAGATTTCGGTATAGAAGTACCTCATCGATTGTCTAATACGAGATCGGTATGATTTGGAACTCACATTCGGAATGTTATTCAGAGATGAACTCAAAAAAATTCATTTTCTGTTAGATTGGTGATGCATTACGAGCCTTTGGTGGTTATGGTAAACCATATGTGTTGGTTGTGTCCATACAGGATCGTGTGCAAAGTGAAGAATTGTTTGATAAGATTAGTCTAATCGAGGGTGTGGGGAAAATGACAAAAGAACAAATAGAAGAGCATATGAAAAAGAATTTGGATAATATTCGAAAAGTAAAGTTTAGTTGAACACGGGGAATCTCTAGTTTCATCGTCTTTTCTTCGTTTAGTATTATTTCGGAACTATAAGTGACGAAGAATATCGTGCTCATCGAAATCCGGTCGGTGAAATTGTCACTAAAATGGTTGCTTCGAAAAATCTCTGATGAACTGTATTTTTGAATTGAAATAAATACCAAATAAAAAGAAAAGACTCTTTTGCGTGATATTTACAATCATGGCTATCATAAACATATTTTCTCACATTTTTATACGTCCATTCATCGAATGTTCTCTTGGTAATGGCATGAAGTATAAAAATGTTCTACACATTTCTTTTATATCGTTATGAAAGAGAACAGATTTTTCTGTTCTTTCTTCTATTCAGTTTTAATATTCATCCATCTAATAAATTGTCTATTGAAAACATAGAAGCAAGTATGTTATAAATTTCTTTTTCGCTTTTTCTTTCATGAAGGACGAACTATTTATGAATATATATATATTACAAGTCAGACGACTTGTATTTTGGCTATTTACAGAAGCATGATTTCGAATGATTCTCGTAGGAATTAGTTATTTTTAACCTTGTCGATTTTAGTCGAGCGGTTTTGTGCTTTTCTACAATTAGAATATTCGATACATTATGGGCAATCAAGTAGAGTCTTCGTGTTTTTACACAGTCGGAGTTCTTTTTTTGTTATTTAGCACCCTACTGGACAAAATACTGTGACAAGAACTGAACAGTATCGAGACAGATCCAATTACCAAAATGAAGTTATTGATCTCGATGAAATCATTGAACAATGGGTATGGAATATGTGGAATAGAACTAAGACAAAATCGTTCTCCCATCGCAAGTAAATTGCCGTTGATTGCATCGGTACTAGTGAACAAAATTTGATTGAATTTAGACGTGAAGAACTGCTGGTAAAAATCAATTGGAAACAGGTGGCGTTCTCACAAACGAAAACGAATTTTACTGGTTCTCCCCCGGTTTCGTTACCGAAATCTCAGATACTTTTTCGAACGCACTTCAATAACCACACTACGACGGAACAATCGTATTCATTCAAAACCGAACGTTTCACGCGCTCAACATTTAAATTTATATTCACCCATTGCTTGAGAAAATCACAACATTCAATGGTTGTGTTTTATTTACCCGAAGAAATTGTTCGATTTACAGGAGGCATAAAGCTTGAACAGTATGCAGATTTCGGACAGGACACGTAAGAAAATAATTTCTAATCTTTGTTCTCGAATAGGTGGTTTTTACCTTTCGATTAGTGTTAAAGAATATAGTATGTGTTGGGGTGTTAATACTCAAATACATGTAGCACCACGTACATGTACATATGCGGAATTAAATATTGATGAAGAAGAATTCAATGGCGATTTTGCATTTTTTATTCAATTTTTCGGTCGAATCACTGCTACGGTATCAACGCGCGAGTCGCCGGATAATTATCTGCAGTTTATGGACGGTGATATCGTCGAAATTATACGTGAGGCGATAGATTGTAGCCATCGATGGAATGACTTAGAAGTTACTTCAGATTATCCATCTGTCGTACGTTATAAAATACGTGGTAAATGTTCATTTCGGTATGGCACTCAGCAACATGTTGTCCTTAATCAACAACCGTTAGATTCTTCATCATCTTCTCTATCCGAGCGTCTTTCATCTCAATCAAAGGCGACCTCAGTGCAGAATGAAATGTATCTAAACTTTCGAGATATATAACATTTAGTAGGAAACTAATCCTTGGTTTTGACAGATGACTTTGTTTTTTTTTCTCTCGTAAAAATTGTTGATAAACAAAGATTTTGCATGGATATGAACACTATTGAAAAAGAAAACTTCTTGAAACTATCTACATGGTTCGTTGAGTGTTTTTTGTTATTGCTTCTTTTTTGGGTAGGATAAAACTAAGTGTCAACGTTGCAAATAAAGTTAACGATGAAACAGCTGTTAGAAGGACCCGTAGACCTTTAAACCATAGAGGATAGCCTGGTTGTGTAACATCATAAAAACCGAAACCTTGAAGTGATGATAATGCCCACAGAATCGACCATCGACCAGGCACAAGTAATGCTAACCAAGCAGCAACAGATGGAAGAATAGAGTATGTATACTGTTTCCAATCATTGGATTCTCGTAAAAGCGTTCCCCATCGAATACCTCCGATGAATGAAAGAATCGAAGCTGAATAAGCTAATTGAGTAAATGCTAAATCAGGTGAATATATTCCTGTGGAATACATATACATGGGAACTGCAGCAAAAGGAACTAGGCCAAGCAAACCGAATGCTAATGGTGCTGTCGGTGCGTCCTTTAAATGACGAAGATAACGAAATTGATCAAAATAGGTTGACGCTTGCTTATCATTATACTGTCGTAATAATTCATTTTTAGTAAATTCATTTGAGTAAGTCGTGCGAATAGCTGAATTATTCCATAATGAACATGACACTCTACGACGAAGAAATAGAGATGAAAGGGATCGACAGGGAAAAGCCGTCGCTAACATCTGAAAATATATTTATTAAATATTCGACTGTTTTGGAAAAGGAAAAAGTTGCCGATGTCGATTATTAATACACTCAACGTTGAGAAAATGATTGGCTGATAATCGTCATGTAAGAAGTTTGTCTTTTCAAACCTTTGCCTATAAATAGATGTCAGGCAATAGCAACTGGGACGATTACAATCACTGAAATGGTTTTCTTTTCGTACACATACTTTTGTTTCAAGGGATGTTTCGAGGGTGTTCCAGTAGACAAGTAAAATCTAAAACGACATTCATTGGAAATCATTTTATCTGTTCTTGCTTTTTGTTGAGACAGAGGGATTCTATGTTAGCCCAAGGAACAACTCAAGTTTTGTCAACAAACATGAAAGACAATGAATTCGATACCGTTAATAAGAAAGTCAAGGCAACAACAGGAACACACGAAGCGATGGAATCAGCTCAAGAACTATTGAAAACGATAGAAGTTTTAAAGCTCATTGTTTCTATTTAAAAATGATTCAATAAAAATTGAAATTGTCATTTTTCTGCTTTTTCATCTTTGAAAAATAACTTCTATCTTAGATTCCAAGTATATCTCGAAATTGCGAACGTTAAACCATGATATTCGGAGAAAAAGGTCTTGAAACAGTGCAATAGGAAACAATAAATCAAACATCTATTAGAAATGATCGTTGCATGAACATTTTCCATCGGAAAAATGGTGAATACGATTCGCATCACGAATAATAATTTCACATCGACGAATTTGACTGATCAGCTTGATTGCACCATCTGCAACAAGGAACAATCCACAAAGAAAAACATATTTTCCATCAAGCATAGTCTCCACTTACGACAATCACCGCAAATGCGAAGATTCTTCACGATTTGAATTCGCGATGGAACTGGTCGCTGAATAAAATGATATGCAAGTGCCAATCTTTCGCTATGACTGTTGAGAATGGATGCTACAGTTTCACCAGGCATCATCGCACGCGTTATCCAACTTGAATCGAACTTGTGACCGTGTTCAATGAGTTCTTTTTCGATTCGATGAAGTTCATCATAGATTTCTTCTGTTCGTGGATGGGTACGATCTTTGACACGAAATTCCTTCAAAATAAATAAGAATTCGAACGAGGATTATTCTAGAAGAAGCACGGAATTTACCACAATTTCACCGTTGACTTCAGTCCAAGATAAGCCCATTTTTTTCCTGATGCCTGATTGGCCCATTTCAAATCTTAGCTGTGATGCTTCTTCCAAGTCACCGGACGATGCTAAGATGTTTGTGAAAAGCACAGAAGCCGATGCGAGACAATCGTTGTCAACATGGCTCAGTTGTTTAATTCGTTGAGTTATTCGTCGTGCAAGGGAGACATCGTTTTGATTTCGTGCACCTGACAGCAAGGACACTAAAGTTCAAAGAACAACGTTACCGAACTTGATTACTTAATACGAAATGAACTTTTTCTCATGGGACAGCTTACTGTACATAAGTAAATTAGGAGGTTGATGACGCTCAAACTCTTCGATCAGTTGATGTGCTTCGTCGAACAAAAATGAACGACTCAAACAATCGACCTAAAATTACAGTTCATTGTTTGATCATAGTATCGATTCAGTTACCATTGTTGTATAGATGTAGTGGTTTTTATTTGGGATTGTTGCAAAAATTGAACGGCATTCATTAACAAGACCTGAATGTGAACAAGCATTCAACACACAAACATGTGTTTTTGCATCTCTCATTTCCATTGGTATTCGATGATAGAGCTGAATTGCATCATAGCCCATTCCATTTAGTCCATATGCATTAACTATCGAGATCAACTCATAGACAGATAAATCACCAACTCAACTTACTCATAGCAGTATATGCGATATAATTAGGTTTATCAATTTTATCAAAGATATGTTTTGCTTCCTTCACACATGCCACTTTACCCTGATTAATTGCGAGGAAGTATTACACAAATAAACAAATGAGATGTCACCTACCCACATGTGAATTAAGGTAGTTTGAAGTTTCAGATCAGATAACATCGAAGATGGGATTTGACTTGCAATCAATCGACAACGTGGTTCAAGCCCACGTTCAGCGCACGCATTGATTAGAAGAAGAAAAATGACCAGATTTGCTGCAATATTTTGGTTCTTCATCTTTTCATACAGGTTAATGGTTTTCACATGCATACAATGATTATTATAACATTTCATCATTTGTCCATAATTAACTACAGTTCGTTTCATTCGGTCGAAAATTTGCTCTGCACTGGAAATATCACCACACTTGGTGAACATGTCAAAGGCAGCCACGATGTTATACTCGTCTTTACGATGAGTTTCGGAAGCGGAATGCCATATTCGTTTACCAAAATCTAATGCTTGCGCTGTTCGAACTTGAACACAGCTATTAAATAAAAGACAGAGAAGAATTTCATTTGGGTCATCCACGTTTTTGAACGTCTCAATTGCTTTTTCAGGCATGTTATTCCGTACGAAACCTAAAGAAGAAAAAGCTTTCCTTATAAGTAAAATAGATTGAATAAATGAGGTAACCTTTCATCATCGCACCATAGTGAGCCACATTTTTATTGACACATGAATCGAAAACACGTTGGGCTTCGTTCACTCGGCCACATTGCACTGCAAGATTTCAACTGCAACAACATGAATCCATACAAGCAATGCGAATTTACTGTAGAAATGTATAAGTGATGCTTGGATGAACCTATTATTCTTGGATTGATTTGATAGTTGCTTGTGAATGTTGTGACCACGTTCAAGAGAACCTAATTGAGAGCAAGCTTTAAGTGCTTGAACAATAATTCTATCTGTTAATGCATCAGGATGATGATGCTTGTCGAAGAGATCAAGTGTTTTAGTGAATTGTTTTCTCTTGTTAAGTCTTATCATTTCTAGTTCAATATTTAGTTGAGAGGAATTTACAATTGCACGTAGTAGCGTGAAATAATTTGATTTGACTTGACGGAATAGAATAACAAATGGGATAATCATCGCAAATAAAAGATCAATCGAAGTAGATGAATGGATTGTCAATACTTTTACTTTTACAAAAATCAAAGATCCGAATAAATAATTCAAGATCAAGAAAAGTTCTCCGTTGAATGACTTCTTTGGATTCCGTGCAAAACAGTGAATTGTGATGTTTATCTGTAGTCATAATCCAACATAGACTGGTTTTTTCATTGGTTCGAACTTTCCGCAAGAAATCAACCAATGACCTTTGGTTTATTCGATAGAGACATCGCTTTTCCTTTCATTATCTGCATATCATACGAATAATGAAAGAAAAAAGTACCACGAAATACCGACTCACTGGATGCCGTCATCGAACGATTCAAGTTTTTGTTCTTCATCCCCACCTCATAGGATTTCGAAGAGATTTGTTCGTCTAAGTTTACAAACTACATGAGTCAACTGGAAGACATGAACATCCATTGAGTGACGCGTGACACACAGCTAAAAGAGTAAATCTTTCAAATAGTTTCAGCCAAGATTTTTCGTCAAATGATCCTGAAATTGGTCCGATTGATCGTAAGTTGACAACTGATTTTTAATAAAAATCTTCTAGTTTAAAAGGTGAATATCCGGAAAACAGAGCATTTATTATCATTTGAACTTAGATAGGAAGTTACAGCTGTTTCATTCGAATGGATCGTATTGAAAAAATTATTTATTAGCATGAAGCTAAAAACTTTCTTACTAAATAAGTCCCGTCCATGACAACTACACTGTTCGATCCAGAATTTAATTCTGCATCGAATGGTGATGTTTTTATTTATCCACGGGACAAGCTTTGGAAACGTAGGATATCCTAGCTCCGGATTCGCTCGTGAAAGCTTTCCAATAGTTTCAATATACTTTCCAGACGCAACTCGACAAGCTCTACAACTTTGTCTAACAACACTTTGCTGCCAGACTCTTTCTTCAGACCCGAAAATGTCAAAAATCGACTCCAATCCATGAAAAACCTAGTTTTTATCGCTTAGTTTCGTTTAAAAGTGCTTTCCAATGCAACAAACACTGGCTTCAAGTAGATCTCGACTACGTTTATTGATTTCATATCTAATTTATCAATTTCCAATATGTTGTCATCAAGAACAACCATAAGCTGGGGAATATGATTTTGCGGCAAATGAACTTTTTAAATTAATTCCTAATTTTTGACAAAATCAAAATATAGGACTACTCTGTTTGTTCCACTATAAAATGCAGCTGAAATTGCATAATAGGTTTACTGCGTGGTAAGAGCGGTATAGTGGTATACTAGCACAGGATGTATAGTGTAGACAGTATATGAGATATAGTAGTTTACTTCTATACATCCTTTGCTAGTACTCAGGTCAACAAATCCGGTGGGATCCGGGCCCGTCGAAATCCAATGCGATTCCGTCACCGGGATTTCATCAGATTCCTGTAGGATCTGATAAAATCCTATATTAGATTCGATGGGATCCGAGTATAGGATTGTTCGACCTGGGTATACCACTATATCGGAATATTGTATATACCTCTTTTTATCCTGTAACTATATTATCATATACAAGTGTAACGCTCATCCTTTGGATTCGCTCACCCTTTTCTGAAAGACTTTTCCGAATGCTGAACACATTCAGAGGCTTCGAAAGAGAAAAAACGCACTGCGATTGCTACTAGTGCTCGAATGAATCATGGCACTATGTCACACACTAGAATGAATAGGATGCAAAAGTCTTTTTAGGAATCAGACCGATTAGCCATTTATTACTGGATAATTCTCCAGCACTAACTATGTTGACTGAAAAGTTCATTGCTCAACGGCTAGTCAGACGGCCAACCATAGACCTTTGTCCTCTGTTTTTCTATTTTCACATCACGCGTATGCAAATTTTCATAAATGGTTTACTAAGTCACTCATAGACGGACGATTATATACAGTAGACTACTTGAAAAGTTTGAACATTCGTCTGTGTCTTCCAGCGATAAACTGATTCTTTTCTCTCCTGTCAACAAAATGATACCCTGCCGAATATTTTCATTGAGGAATATCCATTCGTCAAATCCCTTTCACAATTATCTGAAGCCTGGCAAGGTGATCTGAAGCACGGATTCTACTCTTATCTTCACTTGTGGAAACCGATAATTCAATGATATCGTTCTCAAAAAAGTATCAGTTAAGTTTCTTTAAAGATCATTCAAACTATCTATGCCTTTGAATTCTCATTTTCAACACAACTCTCCAAATATACGTCTATATTTCGAACAATCTCGCTTTGGTCGTCCTCTCACGACTGCCAAACTCTGTTGGCATCCTTAATATATAATTCAATCTTTATTTTCACTCGAAGTAAACATGTGGTTTGGCTTTGAATCCGTTAAACAGATGTACGAAATATCATCGGACGAGAATTGATCGACGTTAACTCATAGATACAGCAATTAATCTAATTGAGGAAAGTCCGCTGAATTGAAAATGAGAAGATATTTGAGAATCGTTTTGTTATACGTTCAACTAAGTTAAGAAAGTAACGCGGTCCAGTAGCCACTGACTCCCTTCTGAAAACATATCATCAGATCTCTCGTATTCCTCGAAAGAAGCAAACAAAAACTATTTCATTTCAATGATACAATCATTAACCAGTTTGGCCCATTCTTTTATTCATACGCATTTTTCTTTCTCGAATCTTGTCAAACTAACGCCTACTCGCTCGTCGGCCTCCCTCCGGTCGGTCACTCACGGCTAGCCGTTGACGCACATAGTCAATTTTCATAGTATTTTCATATAAAGAAGCATCTCGTTGATACTGAGTCGGTCTGTGATCGAAGTTATCAAAAGTCTTCGTAACTGTGCAATCTACAGTACATACTCCATTACTCTCTTCAATTTGAAGCGCTGATAATGTGCAGGCCTTCCCAGGTTACTATGGCTTGGTCGGCTTCGGCCGGAATTTCAAACATAGGTTCCAGTAATTTCCTAACCGTTTTCTGCAAACTTCGAGCAGGAAACGGTCAGGGACGGATCCAGTCGCCGGAATGATCGACTTGGGTTATTCTCGAAGCTCAAAAAGACATCAACTATGTTCCTTAAAAAATCATTGACATTAGCTGAGCCTCTTCTAAAACTCATCCTTCAAGTAATTTCCAAAACAAACGCCTAGTCGTTCGTCAACCTCCCTCTGGTGGGTCACTCACGGCTAGCCGCTGCCATGCTATCTCTGTTATACCTTTCACCTTTGATTAACTTTGAAACTGAATAATTGCGCTTCGTGGTATTGTCGTTTCGACAGTAATGATCTTCCATTCATTTGACTACCAATAGAAACTAGATCAAAACTCTTACTTTATGATGTGCTCTGAGAAGAACATCTCTCATAATGTTCCATATGTTTCGAATATTGTTTGTATAGTCCACGCCTCTGTAGTTAATCATATAGAATTCCATTCACAGGTATACCACTTTGCGAACTATTTCTGCTAATTTCATATTAAAATACATGACATATGTAGCCTACAAGGCAAAAATGATACTAAGCTCATATAACCTTTTCTGATTTCTTGAATTAGAAATATCATCATGAAAGATATACTAAACCTTTTCGTTTAAGCTGTTAAACTACTATCTTCGTGCACCTCACATCCATCAATAGCGTTCCGTCCGACACCTTCTAGAAAAGATATCGAGATCGATAAAGAAAATTATCTTCTTTGAAAAGAGGAAGACACAACCCGAAGCTTGGTGAATAAGAAGAAACTAACCTTAGATTCGAGATCCTCGACACAGATTACCTTTCGGTCAACCCTTACTGCGCATAATAATAATTTATCTGTAATTGATAATTAATAGTTAACAATTAGTTAAAACTAACCTCAGATTCAAGTTCTCCGACTTCCATTACGCGACCGGTAATCACTTCCTAACAACCATCGATTAATTTCATTGATTTTAGAAATGTTGATTTCTGATTGGATAGGACAGACAGACAAGCAAGCATTTTATTAGCCCCGCATTTAAACGCTGTATAATCCTTTCTTTCAGAGAAGGAAATATTGACATGTTTATTTTCTTTTGTGAAGTAAAAAACTATCTTTCTTTCTGTCAAAGTATACGAAGTTATCGAAAATATAACTAAAAAATGATCTTCATGATACGAAACAATTCTAAAAAGAACATCCCAAATTTTTCACTCTCGTCTCATATCTTTCCTGCTGATCCATTCACATATTTTCGATTACTGTAGAACTAATTCAGCGGGCGAAGCTCATTCACAAATCCAAGACGTCTCGAAACAGGGTTCCGTCCAAAGCAACATGCCAAACTCATAGTTTCTGCTTCGCACGTTCAAAGTTTCTTTTAATCAATTGAAGGTGAGGATGTGTCGATGGTAACACTTCTTGAGCGATTTGAACCGCATTTGTGTAAAACAATACAGCAGTCCTTTGATCACCCATGTGAGAATACGCTGTACCGATGTTGTTGTAGGATGAAGCCACACTAGGATGATTGGGAGGAAGTGATTGTTCTCGTATTTTGAGAGCTTTTTCGTGTGATGAAAGTGCCTTAGGATAATCACCCATGTGAGAATACGCTGTACCGATGTTGTAGTAGGATGAAGCCACATCTGGGTGATTGGGAGGAAGCGATTGTTCTCGTATTTTGAGAGCTTGTTCATGTGTTGTAAGTGCCTTGGGATAATCACCCATGTCAGAATACGCTGTACCGATGTTGTTGTAGGATCCAGCCACATCGGGGTGATTGGGAGGAAGTGACTGTAGTTGAATTTTGAGAGCTTTTTCACGTGTTGTAAGTGCCTTGGGATAATCACCCATGTCAGAATACGCTGTACCGATGTTATTGTAGGATCCAGCCACATCGGGGTGATTGGGAGGAAGTGACTGTAGTTGAATTTTGAGAG